TACTATCAAGCTTCATGGCACAACTATTTTAAAACCTATTTCTAAAGTATTCTCTCTTTTTTCATCATTCTAAATATAAGTGCTTTCATAAATACGGGTGGATTCCTCACGGCTGTCAATCCAACACATGAAGTGTGGGTGGAGGATTTTCAGGCACTGAATGTAAGAAAACTATCCTGTTTATGTCATACTGTCTGTCTAGACACCATCAACTTGTTGAAACTAGTCTCCCTTATACACACTGCCAAGTTGACATCATCAGGCAGACTCAATTTCACTCATAATCATGCATGAAGATTTTCTAGTGCAAATATTTCTCCTCCTTAAGACTAAAAGAGAAAAGAACTTTTTTTAAAAGAAAAAATGCACAGATGCTTCCCTCTTTTCAACCACGTTGGAGATTTCTGTCATGTCTGAGTCCTTCAGGCATACCCTATCTTAGTACTACACCACTCATACTAACCAGTTCTACAATATTCTTTGCAAAAAGATCTGCAATACAAAGTTGCCATGATTCCAACTCTAGTTATTAAAACACAATGTTTGGTCCCACTATTTCTATGTTACATTTCTGACCCTTCCTGTATTTATTAAATGTTCCTGATCTTAGGCTCCTGCCAAACGTGCAGGTAAAGGCACGATGGGATAAGATGCACATCTTACACGTATGTGGCAGGAGGCATGATTGTGGGATCATGATTTAGATTCCATCACACCTTATTGCTGGTTAAGGGGAGCCCAAGATTGCGATCCTGGGCTCCCTCTGCACTGAAAATAGCAAGCTCCCATGCCTGGGAGCCTCCTCAGTTGACAGGGCTCCCAACTGTAGGAGCAGATGGTGCACCCCCACAACTGTGGACCCCATCAGCAGAGGGAGCTAACAGCCACAGAGCCACACCTGGCCACATATTCAATTAATGGTGTGACAGATAGCAGCCACAAAGTTATCATGCATTTTTTTGTGAAATAACTTTGTGGCTTATCCCTTGTTTTATCACACCTTTAATTGATTGAACGTGTAGCCAGGTCACAACTTAAGATGTGATTAACTGGTTAGTCACGTCTTAAGTGTAACATGTAGCAGGGGCCTTTGGCCGCCTCTGCACTTAAGTCATGATTAACCAGGTAATCATGCCTTAAGTTGTGACTCAGCTATACATTCAACCAATTAATGACATGATAAAACAAGCAATAAGCTACACAGTTATTCCACAAAAAAATGGGTAATAATGTTGTACCTTGTTCTAATCATGTCACTAGGTGAACGTATGGCCTGGTGCTTCCCTGTGGCTAGGGGACCCATCAACCAAGGTCGTCCCAGCCACAGGGGCACACCAGCCGCTGCCAGACCCGCAGCTGACAAGGCTCACAACGGCTCATTGTCAGTTGTGGGGCCCGCAGCAAGGAGAATGGTGACCTTGCTGCGAGCCTCCGCGACTGCAAGGCTTGCAGCTGGTGTAGCGTCTTAAGCTGTGGGGCTTGCAGCAGGGGCAGAAAGGAAAACACTTCCACCACTGTAAGCCTCATGAGGTGCAGGGCTCACAGCAGCAGCAACATTCCCCCATACTGCCCCTGCTGCAAGTGCCATAGCCAACACCGTTGCGGGACTCACAGTGGGGACAATGGGGGCTCACAGCAGTGTCTGTGTTCCCCCACGCTGCCCTACTGCAAGCACCACAGCCAACATCGCTGCAGGGCTCACAGTGGGGGCAGCAAGGAGAACAATGCCCCCACCGACAGCCTCATGACATATAAGGCTCGCAGTGGCATCAGTGTTCTCCTGCTGTCCTTGCTGCAAGACTTGCAGCCCACGTTGCTTGTGGAGCTTATGCTGGAGGCAGTACAGGGAATGTGGCCTCCACTGTGAGTCCTGTTGAGCCCCATCAGGGGCAGGGGGAGCCAGAGATCATGATGGGCACCACTGATAGGCACAATGGGATCTAATGCACAATCCCACAATCGTGCCTCTTGCCACTGAAATTGCATATTGAAAGAATAATGGAAATATTTTCATTGCGTCTTCCTAACTGTACCTCTAGTAGCTGTGGACTCATTCAAAAACATGTATTGTGCTTTCCCCAGTCACTAATTATACAAAACAAAATGAGAATTTTGTGTAAGTGCATCTCTTTTGAAAGGAATGCACCAAAAGGTGATCCTGGTTTTTATTTATATATGTATAAAAAAATGACTCACTTTTTGTGAGTGCCTTTCAAAAGTGATGCACTTACATAAAATTATAATTTTGTCTTGTATAATTAGTGACTGGGGAAAGCACGATTCATGTTTTTGGATGAGTCCACGGATACTAGAAGTACAGTCAGGAAGACCCAATATATAAATAAAGGATCACCTTTTTGTGCTCTCAAAAGAAATTAACTTACATAAAATTCTCATTTTGTCATATCTATATCTATCTATACTCTATCTATTCCCACAATAGATCTATCTATCTATCTAGATATAGATATATCGATATAATCGATATATATTAGAGATTTGAGATTAGATTAAAGTGAGGTGAGTAGATATAAAAGGCAACACATACCATTACAAAATGCCTGTCTTGAGACTGCAGATACTTCTGCAAAAGTAAGACCAAAGGTAATAATGTAAAGGATATATATAAAACTATATATATCTTGTGAGTACTTGCTCAGATTGTGCTAGTCATATTCACACCCGTTTTACATTCCCATACCAGGAGTATTCAATTTATTGAGTTTCTGTCACAGTAAGCTTGTCAAAGACTATGTTGTATTCTCATGCTCAAATGCAAATAACAAATTTTAAACTCATTATGCGAGTACTTGCACTATATGTGCTCTCTCACACTGGATAATGCACTGCTTAACACATCAGGAGACCCTCACCAGAGACATGAGCACACAGAAAATTTAGCTGAGCAAAGCTTTCATTGACAACTTCCCAATTTAGACTCCATGCACTGTTAATTTTCTGCAAATTTGACAAATGCTAATTAATTTAAACTCTCCTGCCAACTTCCTGCAAAAAACTATTTTTTTCTTGAAATGACAGCTCAGGCAATATTGGGTTCCCAGGAGGAAAACATTTACGTTTTTACAAGATTCCCTAATCCTGCTTATCTCCTTTCTCTCTTTGTAAGAATCAAAGCCTTTTCGGCACGTGACCTGATCATAAGAGTTACACTCATTCAGTCAGGGAACATAAAACAATGTTATGTGAGTTTAAACAACTGCAACAACTGACCAGCACAACATGATGTCCAAACAAAGTATCAGATACATATAGCAAAATATCTCTGATCAAGCCACAGAGTTACCAAAAAGCGCATGCTTGCAAAAAATGGTAAAATACATTTGAGTAGAGATGATATCTTTCTGTGAGTGGAACAATTTCCAAAACTTGTCAAGTAAATTATTTGCTACAGATTACTTCCTCAGTTCTACCTGATATCTGATATCCCTAGAAGCACCATGGAAAATAAATTACATTTCCTCTGCTAGAAAACACGTATTCCCTAGAGTGAGAAAAAAATAATTGTACTGGATTAGAACTGAAATCACAAGGCAAAGCCCTTTAGAAGGAAAGAAACAGCTTCTGTTCAGACAGAAGTCTTCTTTGTTCTAACACTATTTATTTGTAAATGGCATTTCCAAAAACCAGTTTTGATAAATTTAGTAATGCAAAAATAATCAACAAAAATTCTTTAGAAACATGTGGAAAAATCAAAATGAAAAAGTGCCAACAACTTTTTTACCAGTAGGTTTGGACCAAGAATACTTCTTCAGGCAAAAACTTTGGCCAATCCTACTAACATCACAACTTCTATAGGAGCCAAGATCCCATTGGCTGCCTGCCCAGTGTTTTAATATAAAAAATAGGGCTGTCAGTTAATTGCAGTTAACTTACACAATTACCGCAAAAACAAATTAACATGTTAATCTTTTTTAATTGCATTAATTGCGCACATCATTTTGATCAGTGAAATGGACCAACCAGAACCCATGCCCCACCCCACACCTGCTCCAGACTCACCCATTCACACTGGGCAGTGGTGGCAGCAGCAGAGGCTGGGCAGAACCTGCTACTTGACATGGGGGGAAAGTGGCCCCTGTCCCTCACTGCTGCTGGACCCTTCTTGCTGAAGCTGCCCAGAGCCCAGGCCCAGGCTGCCCTGCAGCTCTTCTCTGCTGCTATCACCACCTCCTCTGGGCCACCCAGTGGGGCAGCAATGGCACTGCAGAAGAGCCACAGGGCAGCCCAGGCATGGGCTCCAGATGGTTGCAGCAACAAGGACCTGGCAACAGTAAGAGGGAGGGGCTACTTTTCCTTCATGCTGAGCAGCAGCTTCTGCCTGGCTGCTGCCACTGCTCAGTGTGGGCAGGTGAGTCTGGCACAGGAGTAGGGTGGGCCAGGGTTGGGGCTGTTCTGGTCTGCTCCAGCTGGGGTGAGTCTGGAGTGGGCATGGGATGAGCCAGAGTTGAGGATGGGGCTGTACGCTGTTGGTGGTCGTGGGGAGCAGCTGCAGGGCACACAGGCTTTGGGCTGTGGGGTAGGAGGTGCTGACTATTGTTTAACTGTTAATTAAAAATGCAATTGTTTGCGACTTTTTTTTTTTTAAATCTTGCAATTAATTGCAATTAATTTTTTTAATCCATTTGTCAGCCCTGATAAAAAATCTTCTTGAGTTCCTGGAGATGCAGCCCATATGGGTCCTAGATACAAACTAGAAACACTACCTTAGATATTCAATCAGATATGAATAATACTATCAAGTGTGGCTGAGCTTTGAGACTTCCTCCATTCACTCCCAAATGTCTGCCCAGCTTTTAGGCCCATTAAGCTTTAGCTTCTGAAGAGAGCATGGAAGGAAACACTCAGCACATAGATGGTGTCCCCAGCTTGCAAGTGCTTCTCAGACAGGACCCACTCTGACCACAGAAACAAAAGGGGAGAATGGATCCTATCTTATTTATGCTGTCATTTTTTATCCCTAATGTTGATCTCTGGTTTACCTGACCATCCAGGGAGGCAGCGACAATACCCAGTGGTTGGATGACAGCCATCTGCATGGCTGCAATCACAGCGTTCAGCACAATCCATCCCATACGTGCCATCCTGTCAGAACAAAAACACAAAACTGAAATAATGAGAACTAAAGAGCGCTAGAAGAGAACAAGTTCTCATCAGTCCTCTCTCAAGCAACAACAATAGGTTTCCCTCTTTTGATTTCTTAATCAGCTTGCTTAAGATAAAACACCTTTTTGGCTTTCAATAAGCTACAAATTCTGCATTTTCATTCCTTTATTCTAGAGGTCAAGGGGAAAAGTTAATTAGACTCTTTTGACAGATCTCAAACTGACAGTCTGGGAGATTACAATGTTCTAGTCACAAAAAAGTCATCATATAGTCAGTAGCAGCACCAAAACTTCCCTTGTGTTGTCCTCTGATTTCCTTCAGATCTGACCAACGACCTAAAGGGATCTTGAATATGAAAATAATTCAGTGCTTATACTGATTCATGCCTTGAACTCTCTTTTCAGACAACCACAAAGGATGCTATTTAGTACCAAAATTTAAAAGGAGCTCAGGATAAATTAGATTAGTCATAACAAATGATAACTTTTTAGCTTGCAATAACACTGGAATTGGATGCACATGCACACGCGCGCGCACACACACACACACGCGCATATATACAAATAGAGTACATTTGCTTATATATATTTTAGCTTGCAGTAACACTAGAATTGCATGCATCTGTCTGTCTATAAATCTATCCTCTCCCTTTTCATTAAAAATCCTTTTTCCTGCTTTAAAAACATGACAAAAGGAAGCTTTCTCATTCTAAAAGGAGACAAGACAATGATTCAAAACAAGTTTAATTTTCAATACTGTACCATTTCTGTGAATTGATAGAAACCAGGCCCATTATGGAATTGGAATTTAGGGTCAAATTCACCCCTTGGTTTTATCAGTAAAAGTTAGCTGACATTCATTTAATTGTGTCTGTGGGTATGTGCATACATTCACTGTACCAAATCTATAATCACACGGTTTACTTCATTTTCATCACAGTTTAATTTAAACTGTGTGACTGTAGATCAGAAGCAGCTTGTGCCTCTGTTTCCTGAAGTCACACTGGAAACTCAGTCTAAAGAGGAGAGATGGGTAGGATCAGGGGGCTGGGGAGTCTGTAGGGGGTGGTGTTGTCTGTCTGTGGGTGGCAGGGTTGAGGGGGCTAAAAAGAGTTTAGTAAGACAGAGGCGGTAGGAAGAGCGCGGACCCAGCACTGGGATGAGCAATTGGACTTTCCTAGTCTTGGGGCTGCACTCTGAGGCCATGTCCAAATGAGCGCAGACGTTTGATTCCCTGGGAACAAGTAGCAGCGACACACCTTGTGCTGCAGCTACTTGTCCCCAGGGAATGCCCATGCCATGTGCACTTTGGCTTGTGGCAAGTTACCCCAGGTGAGGTAGAGAAGGCTGAGGCCAGCACTGTGCTAGCCCCAGCAGCCTTACCTGGGGTCCTGGGGGCCTTCTAGGGCTGCAGCAGCAGTGATCCCAACAGGCAGAGCCCAGCTGGCAGCCACAGCATGGTTCTGAGTGGCCCAGCTCCACTTTTCAGTAACACATGCTGCCCATGCGTGTGCTGCTCCAGGTTTTTTTCAGTGAATTTTGAATATCCAGGGGTCAAAAAAACTCGTGGAAAAAAAAATGAGTAGCATACGCACAGGCAGCACACCCTTGCAAGTGCAGAGAACACCTGACTGTGCGGTATGTGGCACTACAGACGTGCTTGCAGTGCCACATACTGCACAGCTGCGCTCATCTGGATGCGCCCTGAATGGGTGCAGACACTCAGTAGATCAAGCTAATCTCTTCCCAATCTAATTTAGTTCACCTCCGCAGATGTACTTATTTAGATTGGGCTGCCATTTTTTTCCTGATCTAACCTGTCCAAACATTTGTACAGATCAGTACTTGTACAGACAACACCCTACTTAGGGTGATCTAAGTGTAATATCTGCATGTATCCTTAATCTTTGAATTTGGTTTTTGGTTAGTCAAAGTGAGTCTGTGGAACCCATCTGTCTGGCAAAGCTTCACAGTACTGGGGCTTCAGATTACAGGGCTTACATGTGAATTTTAGAGATGACAACTTCTCACCAAGGCAGTCACTGAAGTTGAGGAAAATCACTAGAATCACCTTCCCAGCAAAAAACCCCAAATATTATTGTAGTTGAGAGGAGGGGCCAGTTCCAGGATGAAATATAAGGCACACTACATAGAATGATTTGTGCTTATTGCTCAAAGCCAGAAGGCAAGAAAGCAGGCAGGATGGAAGGAAGGAATTCCACATAAACTAGAAATAACCCTAATGACACACCCTGCTGTTTAAAAGTCTATTTCAGCACAATAATTTAAATTTCTAGGCTAAAAAATGGTCACTGTCACTTTAATCTTAATTTAGGATGCATTGCAAATTCTAATCTGATGTCCTCTGATTTTCATGCCTACATTTTTATACAGTTCCATAGGGTTTAATCATCCAGCTTTCAATCTTTCAATTCTAATGTAAAACAACATTACATGTTACTCAACAGTATGCAGTGCATTGCTTATGTCACTAATTCATGTTAACATAAAGGAGAAGAAAAGATTAAGGGAAGCGCTTTCTTTGCACATAATGAGATTTGTATAGTAAGTAAATTCTTCCATGTATTTTGAAAGGCGGCAACTTGGAAGTAAAACACAACAAAAATAAGACTAATCAAACTTCAGTAAGGTCTTGAGTAATGATCTTGACTTTTTATAATAATGGAAAGATGTATTCTAGGCATAATGGAACAGAAGTGTTCTAGGCATATAGGAGCAGAAGAATATGCACAAGCCTAAATACAAGCCTAAGTATATCCTCTGATCTCTGTTTTAAGAGAGAAAATGAGAGTCAACTTAATAATGAATCTGGAAGTTTAAGTTAACCTAAATGCCTTGTTTGTAAAAATATATTCATATAACAAAAGCGAAACAGAAAATTTTCTGGAAGGCATCGCTAATGGACAAATTAAATCCTTACTCTCATTAATATTAATAAGAACAATACATCATAGTTTCATAGATTTATAGATTCTAGGGTCGGAAGGGACCTCAATAGATCATCGAGTCCGACCCCCTGCATAGGCAGGAAATAGTGCTGGGTCTAGATGACCCCAGCCAGATGCCTATCTAACCTCCTCTTGAAGACCCCCAGGGTAGGGGAGAGCACCACCTCCCTTGGGAGCCCGTTCCAGACCTTGGCCACTCTAACTGTGAAGAAGTTCTTCCTAATGTCTAGTCTATACATAGTAGGTAGGGTCGGAAAGGACCCCAGTAGATCATCAAGTCCAACTCCCTGACATGGGCAGGAAAGAATGCTGGGGTTAAACGACCCTGGCTAGGTGATTATCCAGACTCCTTTTGAAGACCCCCAGGGTAGGAACGAGCACCACTTCCCTTGGAAGTTGGTTCCAGATCCTAGCCACCCTGACTGTGAAGTAGTGCCTCCTAATATCTAGCCTGAATAATAAATAATAATTAATATTAATAATTCTTATCATTAGTCTTACTATTAATAAGAATAAAAGGGACTGTTGTTCAATTTGTTGTTAGTTGTTATTATTAAAATAATGTTAATAGTTTCTTTTCAACTGCATGTTCAGCATGGGACAACACCCAAAGATAAAAATACAGCCCCATTCTTAGGATTTAACAGTCTAAAAAAAGGCATGGTGACAAGACATAGCTGAATACTTACATTTATATTGATTTTTGGTTTATTCTTCTATTATGGAATTTTGAGGCAGAAAAGGGCATCTGAATTGATTATCTGGGGTATAGTTTTCCTGAAAATAGTGGTCTTGGTTTAGTGGAATAATAGCTTTGAAGCAGTAACTTTCCCTTAAGGAGCCTATGCTGGAAAGCTGCAATCCAGGCTAATAGATATTGAGGGAATTCAGCATCATAATCACAGAATTATAGAAATGTAAGGCTGCAAGGGACCTTCAGAGATTATGTAAACCAAACCCCTACCTGAGGCACGATCATCCGTGTCCAAACCATTCTATACAAATCCACTGTCTAAATTATTATTAAAATTACAAGTCAATTCTGACACACACAAGGCATAACACATCAACCTGCTACAGGTAAAGCAGAAAGACAACAGTGGCCAATGTCCAGCTGCTGGGTTGTTAAAAAATGTTGAGAGATCTTGAAGAATCAGTATACATGGTCCCTGGCAGACATTAATTTAATCACATGATGCAATTTGAGGAATTTTATACTAGATCCCAAAAACCATATCTTCTGACATTCTCAAGATCTGGAATAGCAGGACAAGTGATTTTGGAGATCTGAATTCATCACATCCCATTGCATGTCTGCTGGCACTCAGGGAGCCCAGCACCAGAGACCAGCTCCCTGGTGCTGGGTTACTTGCACACCCTTTAAACTTGCTAGTGCATGGGAGCTGACACCCTACGCTGGGCTGTCCAAGCACCTGGACCTTTAAAAGGCGCACACACAGCCCAACATTAGGGAGCAGTTCCCCAGACCAGGATCTCTGCATGCTCTTTAAACTAAGTAATATACCATGTGGTCAAATTAAAGAAGAATACAAATAAGCAACAAAGATGTTCCACATTTACCAAGTAACATTTTTGTGGTTGGTTCATCCTTTTTATAGATAAATAAATTGCCTGAATGTGTTGTGTATTACAATTTTACATGTAATTAACGTGTTAATTTCACAATAAATGTAATGATTGCAAGGGGCCAAAGTTAGCACTCTGATAAAGTAGGCTGTCACCTATGAAAGCTTTTGCCTCTGTAATCCAGTTAGTGTCTAATGTGTTCACAGATGCGGTGCTGGGTGCTTTCATTAGTGAGCCGTGCTAATTAAAAGCACTCACATGTCATGTGTATGAGCCTCACCACATGTCCCCATGCTGAAAAAGGTGGTGAAGATGTGGTTTATTTCCAAGCGCCCCACCACCATTTTGTCAGCGTGGAGATGTGCAGCAACACTGACATGCTTGACGCACAAGGCTGCCAGAGCACATCAATTTCCATGCTCCAGCAGACTTGATTAATCAAATCTGCTCCAACATGCTGGATTTCCAGCACGTCAGAGCAGGCTCCCTGCATGTGTTTAGGGGCCTTAAGGTACCATCCTGCCCTGCTTATTTCAGTGTGATAGAAGAGATAGCTTTAAAGGAATCAGATCCCATTTCCTATTAGATGAATTCATATATTATTGGAATCAATATATGTGCCTGTACTGTTAGTAGTTCAGTATTGTGAATGTTGAGAATAATATTTAATTTTACTATAAGCTATACTGTGTATTATAGCATGTAAAAAAAGCAAGCAATCCCTGAAAAATGTAACTGCTGAATGCTTCTGAAGCAGTGCAGGGGCAGATTCCATTAAACAGCAGGGGCATGGCCTTTACTCATATGCTGTAACCTAGCTACTCCCACCATGTTACTGCAAATAAGGGAACCAGGCCAAAATGACAAAAGCTCAGAAGTTCCTTTATGGAGAATGTATAAGGTTCAAGTTCAAGTCAGATAATTTTCTCATAATTTTATTATCCCAAGGCTTTCATGTATCCAGTGAAAAAGTGAGAGAGAAACTGGAGGAAAATAAGAAAGTGAAAACAGTCAGAAATTTTCCAACAAAATATTTTCTTGAATATTTTCTTTTATCTATATAAAAAAATGTAATTCTTTACACATTTTTGGTTTTCTGAAATGTAAAACCAAAATGTTTCATTTTGAAATTGTATATATATTTATTGTATATATGTGTGTGTGTGTATGCACACACATACAGAGACAGACACAGAGTATGTGTATATATATATATATATATATATATTTACTTTCCCTCTAAATTCATCACATTCAGAAAGAAAGTAAGTTTTCATGTTATTGCTAAAATGAAAATGTTTCAATTAAAAGTGAAATGCACTTTTAGTTCCTGCTTTCTTACTTTTTTCCACCTAGAAACCTGTAAGAAAGATAGGCGGAAAAACCTGCTCTCCCACATTTTATACATTTCCTGCAAGAAAACTGAAATTTTCCAGTAGGAAAATTTCAAAAGGGTACAGCAATTCATACTAAAGTTTTCCAGGGAGAAATTTTAGTTTTCTAACTGGCTCTAAAAAAGCCTGTAGCAAAGGGAAGGTCTATAGAAGAATGAGAGATTAAAAGAATAATCATGCATTCTGGAAGCAGATAAAGAAGAATGTATATTGGACTGAGAGAGCACAACAGTGCTGGTACAACAGGTCAGAAGGAATGAGATGAAGTAAGGCTTACACAAGAAATCAGTTTTATTAGGCACCTTGCTGTCTGACTTAGTGTACCCCAAAGATACTGAGCTCAGGTCAGCTCCAAATTGATTAGATAACCTCTATTAAAATACTGTGTTTTGAGGTTCCTTGAATGAGGGCTTAAAATTGGACTTATTGTATTTGAAGACATGGATACATTCTTCTCTCACATTCTCAGTTCGAACTTCAAAGTAACCTGTGTCCAGATGAGCGCAGCCATGGGGTATGTGGCACCACAGACACATCTGCAGTGCCACGTATTGCACATCGCGTTGTTCTCTGCACTTCAAGGGAGCAGCACGGGGGGGGGCAGGGTTTACCCCTGGATATCCAAAAAAACAAAACTAGAGTAGTGCCAAAAAAAAGCAGAGTGGTGCACATGGAGCTAGCATGCGCCACCCAAAGCCAGAATCTGGCTGGCTGGAGCCTCACTCTGCTGCCTGCCATGCTCCATGCAGCCCCAGGAGGCCCCCAGGACCCCAGGTAAGGCTGCTGGGGCCAGTCCAATGCTGGCCCCAGCCTCCCCTACCCCACCTGGAGTAACTTGTCGCATGACAGAGTGCACATGGCGCAGGCATTCCCCAGGGACAGCTAGTGGCAGTGCAAGGTGTGCTGCTGCTAGCTGTCCCCAGGGAACCAAACATCCACGCATGTCTGGACGTGGCCACTGAGGCAATTTGGTGACATATGATTTACACTGCTGTAACCAAGAGCAGAATCTGGCTCTAAGAGACTTTTAAAGAAATTCTAGAACAGACAAAGAAATACTGGGGATCAATATTTCAAGCATGGAGGCACAGAATGTATTCAGGCAGGCAGTATTCATGTATGTGGTATGCAGGTAAGCATGCATTTTTTTTGCATGCTTACGTTATTCTTGACTTTTTAATACATTTGGTCACTAGAGAGGGTTTTTTTCTCCAAATAATTTCAGTAACTCAAAATCTTACCCTAACCTTGAACCCAATCAAGCATACCCTTTCTACCAGGAACAGAACTCTTTTTATGAAAATAACCCCACCAAATACAACAGTACTAACCAGAGCTGGAAATGTTTGCAGGATTGTACTACTTATAACAGTTCCCTGTTATGTTCAGTATTCACTGAAATGGATTTAAATTACCTGGCAAGGAAATTCACATTTTTCCCCTCTCCAACCTGGAGCACAGGTACACGTTCCATCCAGAGCATTACAGGCCCCTCCATTAAGACACTGGCAGGTAATGTTACAGCCAAGACCCCATGTGCCACTGGGACAGTTTATTGAACAATCCACACCATGCCAACCTAGAAAAATAAAAAATGGGTTAAATTAAACAAGGGCATATTTTTTCTCCTTAGCTGTGGGACTGCCACTTGGAATCCCTCAATAATGCACAGCAGCAGGAGTAAAACTCACTAGGTTGTATCTCTTCCAGCAGAGGACTTGCCCAAATTCAAACAAAAGTGCCCTTGAGAGCCTCATAACATCTGTGCACAGCACATACTTTGTAGATGGGTGCCAACATATGAAAGCAATTAATAGGGCATCTGAAGGGAGACACCTTGAATGCACAATGACATACACCAAACTACCATGACTTTTTAATACCTGGAAAGGAAAAATAAGGATATTTTCCTTAAAAAAGAAGGAAAAGCATTTCTTTAAAAATACAAAACAAAACAAAAGAAAAAGGCTGCCCGTAGAGGTATGTATTTGCTGCTCTTTAGTAGCTCTTCTATTGGGCTCTCTCTGCGGACTACATTCAATACAGACAGTGTCGTGATGCAATCATAACAGTGATCTTGGCACAAGAAACCAAGGATAAAAAATAGATCAGTGAAATAGTCATTGCATGAGGGGGATTTTTCCAAAGACAGATGCAAGATATTTTAGGAAAGTACAATACCTCCTTCTGAATATTTAAAAAAAAAATCCAAATCCAAATTAAAGGGTGTCTCTGAAATAAAACATCAAACAGTACTTCTGCCTGAGAGAAATTACTCACAAACTTAACACTGGATAAAGCAGAAATGCAGAAAGCTTTAAACACATGATACTATAAATCTATTGGATTTGAGAACCAAACTGTCAGTCATGTGTTGTCATCAACAATGACACAAGTTTGCCTTCTAATTTTATCCTTTGTTTACAGTAAGTGGGGGGTCGAATAACTCTGCATGAATATAATCAATAGTCTATTCAAAACACATGTGTTGTAATGAATCTGCCTCATGCTCTCAATTTCTAACTGCAGAATTTAGAGCTTCCTTTAGGAAAAATCATTTGTTGCAAATGCTGCACTGTGGTCAGTGAAAAGAAAAAAAAAAGGAAAAATGGAAAAGAAACATGCTGTCTCTGAGTATTCCTTTTCCAGGTTTCCATCACGCCCTATAATGCCTTCTGTAATAGAAGCATCCTGTGTCCATGTGACATGTGGAATGTTTCTAAGACGTACGCTCCAGCCATTGATTGATCCACACCTACAAACTTGTCCTAGTTTTCCTTGCAGCCTAATGATTTCTTTGCTCCCCGGACTACACTACGGAATGAAAAACGAGGCAGCAATTTGGGGGGGGAATAAAGATGTTTAACTTCACAGGATGTTTGAAAAAAACAGATGGTGATATCTTGTCCATAGGAGTTTGCCCTTGGACTTCAATGCTGCCAAGATTTCATTTGGTCTTTAAGATGATAGGCCTCTCAGAAATACCTTAGATGTATAACACCTCAAGGCAGAGGGGAGGGGAAAGTGGTAGATATCTACCAGTTGTGTTTGATGTCATTTTTTATATGACAAGTAACTGATTCCTAATTTAATAGGAATGCTATTTGATTTCCTTTTGTGTAGTAATTTATGTTGAGAAAAATTCTACTCAATTCCAGAAAGCCCAAGCAAATAGGATGTGGGCAGGGCTTGAGGAAAGCAGTCTTTCTCCTCACATTCAAGCCACTGGGCATAGAGAGGCTATAAGTCAAAATCTGTTCCACTGCAATGATGACAGTGGTAGCTGGGACCCCTTGCTCTGGAGTGGTAAACCACTCCCCTTGGCTGATTCTGCCTAGCACTGATGGGGGAGAGCAAGGTGACTGTGTGGTTAGGAAGGAGAGTATAACAGCTGTTATCTCACACAGTTATTGAGAAGAGTAGTGAATTTGGGGAGATACTGATTCTGGGTGGGGGAGATAGCCTGGCAAGAAAAATATCAGCCTCTGTAATGTGGTGAAGGGCTGTGGTGATAGGCAATTTTGCTATTTACTCTGTCTCATGCTGAATGAGGAAGAAAAGAGAAGTAGGCTATGAAGTAGGACCACTGTCAAATAATTTACACTAAAGGTATCTGAGAGCAGCTTGGGCTACTGCAGCTGCAGAGAAAACAGCCTCCCGGCTGGGGACAAATCTAGCAGTGATTCCATCCAATAATTCAATCTGTAAAGAGCTGTCTGGTTGTGGCAAAGATGGTAATGACAAACTCCACACAATTCTCTCTGAACTGATTTTTCTTCCCAATTGTCACCTTTGTCACCACCAGCAGACGGAGGCCTCAAACAGACATTTGTTTCTAGCGGTGGAAATTTCTGAAAAATTTCATCTGATAGAAATCTTTCCAGGAGCATTACAGACATTTTAGCCTGCAACTATGTCTTCAGCCTTGCTCTCCATGCCTTCCCTAGATGGGTGATCCCAATCTGGCAAAGGCATGGGGAGTAATGGCTACTTCACTCCTCTCAGTTCCAGCAGGGACTAGAACAGCAGGGCAAACCCCCCAGCCCATTCCCCAGGCTGAGGCCCCCAGATCTGTTGGGTGGGTAGGGAACGATGAACAGATGCTCCGCTGCAGTGGGACTAAGTAGTGGGGCTGTAAGCACATGGCTTTGGGCATGTGACTCTGCAAGTGTCACGTGGTGGGGAGTCAATTAACTTCCCCCCTGTCTTGCACATTCAAAGCCAGTGCTCTGTCTCAGAGAGGCAAGGGGTGCATCAGCAGCTCAACTTCTACATAGGAAGCAGTGCAGCTGTGGGGATATGCCTCACCACCTTCCCTGAAACAGAGCCCTGTTTGTTTGGAGAAGGCACTTGAGTGACTACTGTTTGACTCCTCTGGATCATGAAGAAGTCAAGCTGTAAAAAAGCCAAGTAGAAGTCTACAGGCATTCATTTTCGTAAGACAAACAGTCTCACAAGGGAGATCATCCAGGTGTCACCCTGGAATATCTTTGTCCCAGAGGGGGCATGCTTCCTTCGGGAAAAATTTAACGAATGCTTGCATGCTCCTAGTTTCTACCAGGAGAACGGTGATTCTCCAGGTAGAAACTTATCACCTGTATGTAGCGAGTGGTATGGCTGTAGTTTTTTACTCTTTTCTAGGTTAAGTTTGCATTTATCTTTTCTCAGTTTAAAAAGCTCATCTTGATTTTGTGGTAACTTGTGCAGGTTAAAGGGATGGGAGACTGATTTGCGACAGCTCTTACCTGCTTTGCAAGTACAAGAACCATCTACTGAAGAACAGAGGGCTCCATTTTTGCAGCTACACACAGAGGAACAGTTTACCCCATATGTTCCTGGAGGGCAAGGAGTGCCGCAATCGGGACCCTGAATTACGCAGAAATATAGTTGAAAAATTATTTAATGAAGCAGCAATGAAAGTTTAAACAATAAAATAACTCTGGTATATTATCTACTCCAAGAATTAACTACCTGTAAAAACCCCTTTTTGAAAGTGACTGTTGTTAAAATGTTACCACTATAAGAAAACTTATAGGCCATGACATATTCTAAGCTGTCATCAGGTCATCTTGGTTTTAAGGGAGTGCATTTAGTAGGCTCATTAAATCTACAGTAAGGATTAGGTTTACATTAGCTACTGTGTTTCTCACTGCATTGAGTTTGACAAGTGTTCAGTACAACTGGATGCAGAAACAATTTCAGAAATCAGTACATAGTATGAAATTGTAACTTACTAAAATTAAGTTTATTTAAAAATATTTAAAAATATATAATCTGATCTAAGGATACACAAAACTATTTTTGTTCCAGAAATATCAAACTATGTCTTCAGGGTGACATTTGTAAGAGTACCAATTCCTGTGTAAGAAAAACACCAGCAAGAACCACAAAAATGCATATTATGATGTGTCCAAATATTTATCAAGGTGCATGGATTTGGGATTTGAGGAGTTGTTTGATTGTGGGGTTTTTTTTAGTTTGGTTGGTTTATTGGTTTTTGCAACATGGAAATCACCTAAATCTACAGATGACTGCCAATGTAGTTGATATTTACACATTTACACCTTAGTAGCACTTTTCCATTCTCATCCCTTTCCATTACAAAGCAGCTGAGTCTTAAAAGATCCATTTACTAGAAACTTAATGCAAAATATTGCATTTTATGGGCCTGATCCTGCAGGATGCCATGGGTACCTGTTAGGAGTTAAGTATTGCTACCTCCCCACTAACTTCAGTGCAGGAAGGATACTCAGCACCACTCAAAATTGTGGCCATAAGTGAAGGAAAAAAGTTAACTGTGAACATTAGAATCATTTACCTTAAATCCTGGGGCACAGATGCATTTTCCAGTCACACTGTCACAGTCAGCACCATTTTGGCAGCTGCAGATCTGTTGACAAGATTCACCATAGAATCCAGGGGAACATGTCTCATTACAGTAGAGTCCAGACCAGCCAGGCTTGCAGGAGCACTCTCCAGACATAGGGTGACAGCTGGCAGAAGGGGATGAAAGGAATAAGTAATTTGGGACTAAATATGACACCCAGGGCCCCGTGCAATTTTTTTCAGATAACAGAATGCTGCTGAAAGGATTTCACATGCTAAAGACAAAGATATGTTTCCTTTTTTCCCCCCAAGCTAAACATAGATTTGTAGGTAAATGTAAGCATTTACACATATACAAACACACAATTAGTACAATGTTACATAATACAGCATACATATACCCACAAAATCTCTGTGCTTAAATAATTTGGAAAAAAAAGAAAAGAAAATATATGACTTTTCCATTTCTGTGCTGAAGGAACAACTCATAACATATTTACCATGCATGTCTGTAAATTACTTGCACTTTGGTGAAAATTTCAGTCTTTGGCTATGGCTCTTTATTTCCTTTTTTAAATAATTCAACAGTAACCAAAACTTGGTTATTTTTCATAAAATGGTCAAGATCAGCCTCGTATTTTATAACTCATAACATCATAAAATGTATGTCTTATGTAAGAAGCATGATACATTTCTTAAATAATAAAAGAATGGTCAATGAATAAAATTCAAGTTGTTTTTTTTTTTAAAAGAAAGCAGTGGTTCAGAAGGGTACAAATAGATTCTTTCTCATTGGGAGAAATAAAAAATCAGAGGTAACTGTCAAATGCAATAACCTTTTGGAATGGGACTAGCCTAAAATGTCCATACCTGCGGATACACCAGCTGTCTCTACCTGAAACAGCAGTTTCATTGAATGGCCAGCCAGACAGCTGTTGCCTCATAACAAATGGACATGATCAGCTGTGCTAAGATATATGTGCTGGAAAAATGGACACAATGGGGTACTCTGTGGCACTCTGGCAGACAAAGCACTTGCTTAAGTCTCACCAAAGGAAAGCCTTAATATCCAAATCAAATATATTTACAATGGGAACACTGTTTAAAGATAGTCTTCCATCCCTGATTGAAGTCAAGTCCCCTTAAGCATGCTGGAAAAATGTGCACGAGCCCAGCCACATTAAATGGCCCATGACAGCTTGGAAGTTTTACATGTCTGAGAGCCTTAACTTGCTCTGTGTGTGTGTGTGTGTGTATGCGCGCGCGTGCGTGCGTGTGTGCGCACATGTGTGCGTGTGCACCTGATTCATTATCATAATCTTTGAAATGGTCTTAAGCATACATACAGAATGTGGCATTAAAGACAATTAAAGGACATAGCTTGTCAAATGAAACTCTCTTTTTATGAATACAAGCAAATTGCACAGCATATTAATGATCAAGGAAAGTTTTGTCTACAAAGATCCAGAGTGACAGTTTACACTTTAGTGCTGTAGATTTATTCTACACATTACTTTGCCATAAACATTTTTATTTGGAAATTATCATAATGATATGGATCCAGTTTGTCTAAAAGAGCAGTAACACAGGAGAAAATCCAACCCTATATCTTTTCACTAAATTAAGTCTGAGAAGTTTGGAAGGGTTTAACGTACACAGAGACAAATCAAACCATACCAATTAGGCTAAATAGTGTTTGCAAGAAACATTAATCAGTCTGTCCATTAAAGTATTAGAATACCTGAGTTTACAGGGATAGAAACTAAAATATTTTCAAATGCAATGCATGTTAACCCAGGACACCCATGAAGCAGTAAGAGAGGCAGAGATGCATTACCTGACAGAGATGATACCTATTTCTAATTTATTTTCTTTATAAATCCAGTGAAATTTTGGGTATTACTTTTGTAGTATAAATCTCTATAATTCCCCTACCAACTGCAGAAGGCATTCAGCAATATGGAAATATTTTTAAACCCACTCAACAGAAGACCTTCGGGAATGAAGAACTAAGAAAAAAATACTGTTACATTAAAACATTTAAAATTGTAGTTCTGTCAATCTAGAAAATAAATTCCTTCTCTTTTTATGAGAGAGGGGGTGAAAGAAAGAGTGAGCACAGTGGATGAGGCAGACAGAGACATTGACATTCCATACCCCCTAGTGAGTGTTAGCAAGACATACTTGCACATATATTGATTGACACCAAAATTAGTGTTCGGTAATTTGTAATTAGATGTAGGAAGCTGGAGCACTTTTGAAGCTTTTTGATGGGTTCTCATGCAGTTAGCTTAATTGGCAATAAGATTTATGTATTAAGATAGGGAGGTAGATGTTAAGAGATGCTGCAATTTCATCTGCTTTATTCATGTCCTTTTCGGTTTCATTTTATTAAACTAGATATATGTTTTCTATATAGGTTATCTGATAATATATATTAAGTATATTTAACTCTGCAGCATTTTAGCATTCACATAATTTCTGGTATACTTTCTGAAATGCATTTATTTACAAGATGTTCCTATAGCAAGCAGTATGCACACTTCCATTTAATGTTGACACTAGATGGGATGTTGACATTATAAAATTCCATTTTAATGTTGACATTAAACAGTCTTAGACCATAAACATGAGCCCATCATTTAATCTATTCTCATTCCATACATTCATTGAAGAGAAAGCATTGAAAAAACAAATACACCCTGAACATGAACCAAGTGGGGGCTCTGTTACACTTAGGATCATAAATAATTTCCTGAATGCACCCTCCCTGCTGAGAATTATTTAGGGGCTTCAGGCCAAGCGCCCAGATGATTTCAATTGTCAGGATTAAACAATGATGAGAGCACAAACAAAATGCTTAACAGGTCAGAAATAACTGCATCTTGAATTGTGCTGGTAAACAGTGCACTCTGGGAAGTGCTGAAGCAAAAGTGCAATGTGCAAAAAAAAAAAAAAAAGCTGCCTATTCACCAAGTACAACTAGGTGAATGGGTAACTACATTCTACACATTTGTATATGTCCAAAATGATCAACAGATGCTACCCAAACAGAGGGTTTGCAGCAATCTAGCCTCAGTGACATAGGTCAGGTCTATATACAAAAGAAAAGGAAGAAACTAGCTTCCCCAAAACAGGTGAAAAAGTAATTCCTGAGGTAAGGTTACATTGTCAAATAGGGCTGTGCGAAGCTTTGGTTCCTGATTTGATTTGGTGGAGATTCAGCCCAATTTGGTGGCCAAATCTCCGAATCCGAATAGAATAAGGAGAAACTTTAATCTCTCCGAGTTGAATTGGAACTCTCTAAATCGATTCAGAGAGATTTGGAAAGATTTGATGATTCGGACATAGAGACAGCTTTAAATGTTTTTTCTACATACCTCAAGGTAGCAGGTGGCTCATGAATGCTGCGATGCTGGGGCACATGGAGAATCCCACAGGAGCGCGGGGGTGGAGAGGAGGTCCTCCACATGCTCAGCAGCAGACCTGGAAGTGGACCAATTGCTGAGCAGGGGAGTGTGGGATAGTGGGCCCCCTACACGCTCCCCAGTGGACCCAGAAGTGGACCAGAAGTGCTTCCAGTCCACTTCTGGGTTCGCCACTGAGCACATGGGGAGGGCCCCCACGTTCCTGTGGGATGCTCCATCTGTCCCAGCATCACAGGGTTCACAAGGCACAGTCATACCGTATGCAGAAAAAACACTCCAAGCTGTGCATGTGGCCGAATTGCTGATTCTCTGAATCAGAATTCAATCTTCAGATTCAGATTCAGCCAAACTGAATAGGGGACAGTGATCTGAATCAACGAATTGCATCACTGTCCCTGATTTGGGCTGAATCCAAATCTGAATCTAATACAGCCTGTTTCACTCATCCCTACTGTCAAAGGGCTGACCCCTAGGTGCCTCATTCACTGATTGCTTCAGTGAAGCAAGGAATGCCTGTTCCATGTAGATACAATGTAGCTTCTTTTAGTATGGCACTGGGCACATGCCAATAAGCATGACACAGAGTTTATTAGAGTGTACACAGCACCATGGTAAGGTCAGCTACATTACATCCCTCTGAGATGTAGCACATGGGGAGTGGGGGTACCATGATCACTACAGAGCTTCTTAACAAGGTCCTTTGGTTGTACGGGCATATTCTAGGTGATTCAAAACATGTCAGCTCCAGAAGCGAACAAGAATCTAACAAGACTCAACTGTGTCCCTGAATAGTAAAGGTATACAGCTCTTTTAATATAAGGGATAGATAACACTTCCACCAGTGTTTCTGATTACTTCCCATGTGCTATCAACATTATTTCTCTCTGATCTGAGTTCTCTCAGACAGCTAGCTCTCATTCAAGTCTCGCCCTTGCCTACATATAGGAAAACTGACAAATGACACTTTCTCTAAGAAAACAAAGATGAAGAGCTGCATGCCATTTGCAGAGTGTTGACACTGAAGTCTAAATACTTGCTAATCAAGAGAAAAAACATAATAGATTTCTCCATGAAAGAACTCTTGGAGCAAATTACAGCCACCCCATACAGCTTTCTGGGCCCTCTCAGAGAGAAAATTAAAAGATCATTTAACCATCTCACTGTGGTATTTAGGCACATCAATATTACCTCGTGGTGGAGAGCATTCAAGGAAGGTCATATGTGTAAAAGAATCAGCATGGGCATTTGATCATCACACATCACTCGAAGCTGACCAATGACTATTAAGATTCATGACACTTCCATCCATTACCCAACCCTAATTTCAGATTGACTGGGTTCACAAGCTACTCATCCATAAAATGATGATGTAAGTACACTATCATGAATTACAGGGACAAATACATTAACTTGTGCATTTTACTGCGGTATCACATATTATCAGTGAATATATTAATAGTTTAATAAAATAGCAAGACTGTTTATCCATATTGCAATTTAAAATGAAATGTTTAATAAAGGATATCATTTTGCCCATGAACAGTCATTTCTGATTGTTTTTTCTTATGTCCTTCAAGAACACAGAGTTGATATATGAAAGCCACAAGTTTTAGAAATAAAATATCATTAGGGATAGGGAGAATATTAAAACAAAGGTGTAACCCAACTAACAGTTGCATGTTGAGCACTACAGAAGCTCTATCAGAATCTTGGGGTCCTCAGACACTGAAACCTGTTGGAAAAGTACCTCCTCTTATTGTCTATAGATTACTGATTAACTGCTTCCCATTATGAAGATCCTGTGGCTATAACCAAATCAAATATCACCGATAACAATGAGGAGTCAGAAAGCTCCCTGATGTGTCTATGTAAAAGTAAGTTTATTCCTGCTTGGTTGGCATTTTAGTAGTACTGTTCTCATGTTATTATAGCCATGATAATCTATGGACTACACAAGGAACCAGGGTTGTTTCATAATATTTTAGGGCACCAACTACTATATTTTCTTGCATACAACACATAACTTTTTCCCAAAAACCAGCTGGTGGAAATTGAAGTGCGTGTCATATGCAGGAAATACGGTAACCAATCACTTACCAGCAGAAACTAAAAGAAAAACCTGCAGTGATCCACAGGGAGTTAAAAGAATGAACAGACTTGGCTCTCTAGCTGCTGCTATTCAGTTACTACAAGGAAAGATCTTTTTTTCTTCATTCTGCCTTTCAAAAATAAAATACATACTATATTCCAGGGCACAATGCATGAGAGAAAATAGGGTATGCTGTAGTTGGGAGAGATGTTAAACTAGCTTTTCAGCACAAAATGCCTTTCCTCAGATCTGAAAAGGAAACAGGTACAGCTTGCAGTAGAACAATTACTTTTAACTACATTATGCACACTAATATTCAAGAAGGGGTGACCTAAGAAAAGGCATTTTGTGTCCAAAAGGTTATTTAAACCAATCTGAACTATCCGAACTATATAGTTGCTCCAATAAAATATATTACTGAACAAATTCTACTTCTGGACATTTTACTCTCAGAGTGGGAAGACTGCTAGACATGACTGGCTCCTCAACAGTGGCAAGGAGGCATCCTCAGGGGCCTCTCTACCATTACTCAAATATATTTGGTGGTCTTAATCTTTTCCTGACACTAAGAAAAAAAATAAGTGTGTCTTGTAATATGAATTTATGCTTTCCCTCTCTCATTATGTACGCTTACAGACACAAATGCTCCGACACCCACAAAGTTGCTAAGCTGCATCCAGTTTGTCACACAGAAGGGAAAGTGTTCAAAAAAAGATCAGCCATATGCTACTGTTTACATTTGAACATTTGTGATTTGATTTGACCACAAGCTGTCTTCCAGAGGTATAAGTGAAAGAACAGCTGTGTTGAACATGAATCAGAAAAAATCATTGAAGTATCAGAAATGCTATAAAATGCAGTTCATTCCTGTCAAACTAAATTTCTACATCAGTCTGCACTTAAATTTGTAGAATCTGGTAAATCATAATTCATACATTAAGCAGTGTTTGGCCATAAAGAATAGATTTGATAGCCAGACAATGGGTGGGATCATGATTCTGCTTACTCCTAAGTTCTCTTCCCAACCCATAATACACTGAATGTTATGTATTGTACAAAAAAATGTTTTTTTCAAATCATTCAAGTGAATGGGATAAACAAAGTTACAAACACATCAGTGTATAAGCGTGTGAATGAAACTGGAAAGGAATGCAACCCACTTTCACTTGGCTTGGCCACAGAAGTTATGCTGAACACTTTGAGCCACCTAAGAATTTGTTTTTCACAGTACCCTCTTACAGGGTCATACTGACAGAGAGATTCAGACAGAAATATTTTCATTAACGACTCCATGCAGTTTAATGTCTTTTCTAAGTTCTGAGTAAAAGGATAAAAACATTTTAAAAGATGCATTTTGGATATGAGATAGCACTGGTCTAAATCATTTCAGCAACCTGTAATAGCAAAGCCTTTAGAATATGTTCACAAAACTTATCTGACGTACTGGGCGTGTCTACACAAGATGCTAAAGGTGCAGTCGGCTAATTCTGCTGCTCATTAGCACATCAAGGCAAAAGCTGTGCTAATGTGCAAAAAAAATGTACAGTAGAATTAGTCTACTGCACATTAGCATCACAAAAAGCTGTGCACTGGCACTACTGTGCAGCAGCACCAGTTACTGTGCATTCAGTTTGTACCTGTTATTATAGGTACTAAACTGAATGCGCAGTAACCATGGTGCATTAATGAACATGTAAACACACCTACTGTGTATTATTAATGGAATTCTGTGTAAATGCAGGCAAAATAACTGGAGTCTTTCCTACAAAAGAATGTTTTCTAGAAGATGATAAGCCTTATAATAAGAATTGGTTTATAAATATTATGCTATCTTGCTTTAACTGTTATCCCTTGCTCACCATCTACAAAGATTATTTTAGAGCTTCTGATAGATCAGTTTTTATAGCAGCATGTTAAGGATTTACAGGATGTGTAGATACAAAAAAGTTTCTGGCTCATGATTATCTGAAAACAGTTGTGATGATGAGCCAGGGAATTTATATTATTTAACTTCTCTGACATCAATAATACAAAGATACAAGGAAATGTAACCCAACCATATCCCATATACAAATAACTTTATTCAGCTTCTTGGCATCAGAGTTCTCCTTCTTTTTAGTAAGCTAGTTTGACCAATTACCCCTTCTGAAATGCATAACCCTAATAGGGTGGATTCCAGAAATTTTCATTAAAATAAAGAACATGTTCCAGCCACACAGGACCAGACCTGACTCTCATCTCACAATGGCCTTACAAAAAGGCATTCTGTTGACTTCAATGCAGTTATTCTTGATTTGCAATACACTAGCATAAAGTAGAGGAAGAGCCAGTCTGTTGAACTGATATGGTGAAAAATATAAAGATTATTTTTATATGAGGTAAATATACAGAAAGGCCAGGTCTGGGTCAAGGTTTGTCTCCTTGGATAATATTAAGATGAATATCAAGATTTATCAGTTTCTATTTAAAGACATCTAATAAAGTTGCAAGCACAAAAAAATTGCAGCTCTTCCCCTGCTTGATATTATGTTCTTGTTGTACTTCCAAAAATAATATGCATGTTTGTGCGCATGCATGACATTTGCATGGAAGAACTGGATACCTAGGAATTTATTTGCTTTTAAATTACATTCTTGATGAAATGGGCCATTTAGAGAAAACCTGCTAAAATCTGTAAAAACATACCTTTGGGTATTGGGCAAGTGACACGGACACTTTTTGTCACACTTGAGACCATAGACCCCATCAGTGCAAAGCCTTGTTTCACAGTGTTCTCCTGTATATCCTTGTTCACACAAACAGGCGCCACTAATGTGATAGCACTTCCCTCCATTCATGCACTGGCAGGTCTCTGCACATTGCAGTCCATAAGTCCCCACTGGGCATTCATCCTGGCATCTGTGGGGAAAGTCAGAAAGACTTAGGTTTACTTCCCTTCAAATTAAAGGTTTTTGGACAATCACTGTAAAAATGTACCTTGGCTTATAAAGGGTTTTCTCTTGGTAACATTCTTTAAAGCTTTGTGATGGAGTTGGTGACCATACTGTAAATAAAGTTAACTCCTCTTTACAGTTGCCAAGCATTAACCATTAGGACTGAAATGCCGGATCCAGTTGTGAAGGCACATGAGGTTTATGGTGCTGCAAAACACTTACCCAGAACGTTAACACGTGCCGTGCCCTATGCTGCAAATTTGCATCATGGGGGCAAAATATGCTACTGGGAAATCCAGTAAATCCACAAAAAAAAAAAAAAGGCACACCACAGGAGCATGCACTGGCAAGCAGGCTGCTGGCCCCAGTGTCTCCCCTACTTCAGTTCTGCCCCTGCTTCTCCAGCATGCCAGGAGCTGCGAGGAGTAGGGAAACTGTTTCCCTGAAGCAAGGCATTCTGTCCCACACCAAAGCCCACATGCAGGGGTGTGTGCAGTGGCAAAAAGTAGTGGCACAAATTTGTGCCGCTACTTTTTTTGGCTTCTGCAAGCGCATACCCCTGCATGTGGGGATGCAGCCAAACTTTCCATTAGGACTGACACCATTTAATTCAGTTCTGAGCACAAGACCAGGAGAAAATAGGCAGTTTTGTCAATATTAAAAATGCCACATTCACCCCAGGCTCACACAACTACTAATGGCTGGTTGACAAGGTGACAACAGCCTCCAGACATTACCAGTTACTCTACCAATGCAAATGATGGCCTGTGCTGCAGGGTAAAGGTCCTGGCTTCCTACTCTGCTGCTAATTCATATGAGCAGTAAACAGATGCATCAAGAGATTTCAGATTTCAATTTGCTTTTTAAAAATCCAAGAAATTAAATGCAAAAAAAGAAAATCAAGTGAGATTCATCATCTGCCCCAAAAAAGAGGAGATATGGTAGCCTAATGGTGCATTTGCACTGTGTTATCCTGAACTGATCTGGGAGCTGAAGAGACCCCCAGCAGAATCTAGTCAACCCTGTGGACACTTCAGCAAGATCCCTGTACTGCCCACTATTTCTACTCACACTTGCCATCTGCTCCAAGGGACATGAAGACATCGTGGGGAGGTATCCTTACAACTGCCTCAAAGCACATGATCCTCCCCCAGTTTATCTTCTTCAGAAATCAGAGCTTGTAAAACTTCTTTATGCAGCTCTGGCTCTTCACCCAGTTTCAAACGTTTAAATGTAGGAAATTTGGCCTCATCCTCCACATGCAACAGGATACTAACTTTAATAAACAGTCACAAACTATTTGTTTTTTTTCCTGCCTCATTCAGTGCACAAGACAGACAATAAATGAGACAATGAATTTCAGAAGAAGAAAGGCTGCTATTTTGCATTTAATGCATTGAACTAGTACTCTGAAAAGATGGTTTCCCACCCTTGCTTCCCCTATGTGATAATGGGCAAGACTATTATAAGGTGTAAAGTTTCCAAATTCATTTTGGAGAACCATTTCATAGTTTGAATTGCTGCTTTCTCTTGAACAATCAACATGTTTACCATCCTTAGCAGTGAATAAATTAGAAAGAGCTGCATAGAAGAAATATATTATGTAGTTTATGATTCAATATTACCAAAATAGGGGCAGTGGCTCTGTCTTTAGAAGTAGGTTTAACATCCTACCTCTAAATAAACCTTATGGACCCTGTTTTTCCTGAAAATGGTGGGCTGTAATCCATTAAAATAATTTCTCCTTGCATCCCAGGTGTGGAAACTGTTGTCAGTCAATAACAGAAAATGCAAATGCTGCTTGTTTTACTCAAATTAAACATTTTGATGAAGGGGACAATCACCTTCTCTGGCAGGAAAGAGACTGCCAAATAGCATATAACAACAACAAATAATGTCATTTTTGTTTTTCTCCATCTTTTTCTGGATTATTTAATTTAATCAAAATTATGATTAAAATAATGACACGCGACACATTTCTACTGAAGGTTAATCAGGTAGAAAGCTATGAAGTGGATGAAGACTGAGAAGAAATAGGGAAAAAAAATTTTCCCAAGAAGGAATCTGCAGATCTCAACTAAGATCTCAGGTTGAGCATCTTTCAGAATAAGCTACACAAGACCATGGTATAAAACTGGGGAGGTGAAGAAAGGGAGAGAGGAATTCTTCTACGCTGGGGCTTAAATGAGATAATGTAAATATTGGAAGTTAGCAGGCATTCTGCACACTGCCCTGTCACTGATGCCAGCAGGACTTGGGTCAGTATTAAGTTTTAAAAAAATGCCAGCCAAGCAAAGGAAATGAATCAAGATTTCACTGTACTAGAAAGAGATACTAAAAACAGATAGTAGAGAAAAAAAAACAAGTTCTATAAACCTGGGTAAAAGGTTGTTTAATAATACAGAGACAGAGGATAAATAGAAAGAGATTGGTGGAGGTTGTAGTTCTATTTTAATCAGTAACAGTTAAGCTGCCAAAACCCATCTGTATGGAACCGTCTTGCTACTCTACTGTAGAATTTGTCACTCAAACACCTGTTAACTTTTTTAACATGACTTTTCTTTGGATAGGTTTCATGTGTTCTCTTTATTCTGAGGACTGTGAGGGGAACTGGATTAAGTTTGTTGACTTGAAATAGTCCAATATGAAAATGTGAGGATAGAAAAAGAGTTAGTCACACTTCAGCAGTCTTCACTCTGGCCTTCTCTTATTTTCATAGAATCATAGAAAATTAGGGTTGGAAGCAACCTCAGGAGGTCATCTAGTCCAGTGCCCTACTCAAAGCACAACCATCTCCATCTAGATCATTCCAGCCAAGGCTTTGTCTAGCTAAATTTTAAAAATCTCCAAGGATACAGAGTCCACAACCTGTCTGGATAACCTGTTCCAATGTTTTACCACCCTCTTAGTGATTTTTTTTTCCTAATATCCAATCTAAACTTCCCTTGCAGCTACTTGAAACCATTTCTCCTTGTTCTGAGACCATTGCTCCTTGTTCTGCCATCTGCCACCACTGAGAACAGTTGAGCTCCATCCTCTTTGGAACCACCCTTCAGGTAGTTGAAGACTGCCATTAAATGTCATCTCAGTTGTCTCTTCTCCAGATTAAATGGGCATTTATACACATGAAAAGTGGCTGTTCCAATGCACTGTAATTATAGCATGTTGGAGCAGACTCGATTAATTAAGCCTGCTGGAGCGTGGTAATTACTGCACTCCAGCAGACTCCAACATCACATGTATCATCGTCCCCATGCTGAAAAATGGTGATGGGGGCCCTTTAACTTTGTTCATTCAACAAGCTTTAGTTAAAGTGCCCTCAGTGCCGTTTTTCAGTGGGGGACACTGATACATGTGACATTCTGGGCGCTTTAATTAGAGTGGCTCCACCCGCACTCCCTCTGGAGCATGTCTATAAACACCCAATAAGTCCAATTTTCTCCCACTGCTTGTTTCATTTGCGGTTGCATTTCCTTGAATATGAAGAAAATTTCTCTCTAAAAACAAGAGTTGGATTGCTAACATAGCCCTAAAAAATTCTGTGGTTGATGAGTTCATGAAATGTCACTGGATTATTCCCAAAATGAACACAAAAGTCTGAACCTGCTGGCTGATTTGAGCTGCAAACAAAAGCTAGAAGCACTAAATATGTTCCGCAGGAAAAGTTCCTAAGAAATGAATAAGGCTTAAAATAAAAGTTGTTATTTTTCTTCTGATACCTGACACAAGAATAAAGCAAAAAGTCTATGACCAATACTTTTTGTTGTTTGTAACATAAGCCATTTGTAAAGTGATAATTGATGGTTAGGAAGACAAATCTGGGTTAAGACCAGCTGCTACAGATGTTTTCCACACATCATGAACTCAGTGCCAAAATATATAATACAATATATATGGAAACCACTGACAGTTCCCTGTAATTTGGTAACATTAACTTTTCTAGGTTTCTGATACACTCCATCCACATTGAGCCCACTTTAAAACCAAGGGAAATTGCTCATCACCAGTAATTCAATTTGTCAGAGTCTTGCTTCTCCTCCCTTCCTGTGAATTATTCCAACTTTCACCATCATGCTAAGAAGCAAGAAAAGGAGTAAAAATACGATTCCTGAGGTCTTCATTTAGTTTAAAACACCATTCCTCTGAGAAGTTGCCACCAATGGAAAATTAAGGAAGTAGGAGTCCATATTTGAACTGCATAACAGGGGAAGGCTAGGGCTAACTGCAGAAACTGGCTGTGTAGAATCAAATCAGTGGGAGTAGGTATATTGGCAGTTTGAGGGGCAGAGCCACCACTGTGCTGCAGAATGGGACATGCAGAGCAGACATAGGGTCCCAGCAGATTCATCCCAACTTTGTACTTGTCATTGTGTGCCCAAGCAACCGGTGCTGGATCCCCTAGAGCATATTTTCCATGATTCTTATTGGCAAACTTTTTTTTTCTTCAGGCTTTTTTCTTATCTAGGAATTTCCTGTATTTGTCTCTTTTTCTCTTGGAGTTTGCCCTACTGTTCTTTTCTAATTCCATCAAGGAGGTGTTTGAGGGAAAATGGATGCATCCAAAGAGCTGTGAGATAAGCTTCACCTTGTTTAGATAAATACTGACAGATTGGAGTAGGCTAGAGTCTGCCTATATTTGTTTTAAGACTTCCATTATGCTTTGTTTCCTTGCTTCCTAGTATATAGCACCATGATGTGTACTGCCTGGAATCTTCTACACGATGGGAGAACAGGTAGGTGAATAAAATCTTATGCTTCAGTAATTCAGGCAACACTCAGTGTGATTTCAATCCAATGAGTAAGCTACACTCTTCCTACTATATATTGTAGTGCTAAGTTAGAAACTGACAAGCTGAAAAGCCCTGTTTTTTTGTTTTGTTTTGTTTTGTTTTGTTTTGTTTTGTTTTGTTTCTACAGAACTGGTTGGATAAGTCTCACTACAACAAACAAAAAAGCGACAGCCAG